AGAGACGGGGTTTCACCATGTTGACCAGGATGGTCTCGATCTCTTGACCTCGTGATCCACCCGCCTCGGCCTCCCAAAGTGCTGGGATTACAGGCTTGAGCCACCGCGCCCGGCATATTTAATACCTTTCATTGATATTTCTTAGCTACTTAAACTAGTAAAAAAATACAGTATTTCTTCCTAAATGTTGTTAAAACAACTTCTTAGACAAATGGATTATAAACCGGAGTCAAAGCTTTATTTCTAGCTAGCCACAAGGGGTAAAACCTTTAAATGTACCAATTTAAGATTCCCTTTAGGAATTGTATAGGAAAAGCAAATGGTCAATCACTGTTAAACTGGATACAAGAAAAAAATAATGTCTGGTTAAAGATTATTAGGCTAGCCAGTCAGCTGGGTGGGTAACCTTGGCTTCCCAGAAGTCCTTAATCTCATTTAGGCCTATCAGAAAAGTGCTAAAGCATTTTAACAGCAATGCCAATTACTTCCCGGAGGAGGTTGTGAATTATATCACATAAAATAGTTCTGCTTCCAGACAAGGTTTAGGACAATTTTTGTTCTCAATGTGACTAAAACTTTTGTGCCAAAAAGTTATTATTGAATTTTTGTTCTAGAACAATATTTTTTCCCTAACATTTGATTTAAGGTGGCTAGTCCTTTTGGAATAAGCCTATGAAATGTTTCTTAGTTAAAAAGAATGTTGCAAGGTTTGAAACGTTGATAGACAAATGCAACAGTTCTGAAAAATTGTAAGATGACATAATGGAAATAGTACTGAAGTAAGTGGCAAATGTGATTTTAAAACAAGCCAGCAGTGTCTGGATTTGTCTACCGATTTATAGGAAATACATGATAAATTATTCCACAGATGGGCAGTGAGGAATAAATAGACTATGGAAAATTCTACAGGACCGAAAATCTGGTTTTTTCAAGAAAAAAATTGCAAGGAAGGGGTGGGGGAACCTATATAAAATACATAAAAAATTACCAATCAATTAAATGTGGACTTCATTTGAGTCCCTAGCGAAACAAACACATTATAAAATTATGCCATTCCTGAAGCAGTCGAGAATTTGAAGTCCCTTACTGAATATTTAATATTAATGTATTGTTGTTGATTTTAAAATTGTGATAATGGTATTTGATTTTAAAATTGTGATAATGGTATTGAGTTTATATGTTAAAAAATCCACCTTATTCTTTAGAGGTAACAGTGAATAATCTGCAGACAAAATGATATGATGTCTGGAATTTACTTCAAAATAACACAACAGAAAGAGAAGGGGGCAAGGATATAGATTAAATACAACTAGCTTGGATTGATAATGGTTGAAGCTGGGTGATGGGGGTTAGAAAGTTTTTGTACAAGTCTGCCTTTTTGCATATGTTAGAAACTCTCTTTGATAGAAAGTTTAAGTTAAATGATGTCGGCAAGATTGGTCCTATGAGCTGTTGGTACTTTTGTTGCTTTCCTGGCTAAACTCCTTTTCTAGAGCCCACCACCAGTAGAGTCCTGTGCACAAAAAACAGGTGGAGGGCAGGAATGCCAATTACAGCACACGTGCAGAAGTCACACCACAGTATGATGTAAGGGAAAGCTTTCCTTTAGAGCATAATATTATGGGCGAAAAATTCCTGGCGAGACACAAGAAATGGCTATCACTTTGAAGCATTGTGGTGAAGGGGTAGTACTCATCTCTCTTTGGAAAATAGAAAACTTGGTGGGGTTTACTGGCTTTGGATACAGAAGACGAAAACAATGAGAAAGAATATGGTCCCAAGTTGGGCAAGGGGCAGAACTATTCTTCCACAGTTTAAAAGGTGCTGGGCCTCTTCTGGGAAGTAATTAGCATTCCTAATCATAGGCTTGATAGATGTAGCTGAGATGAGGACCTCTTCTGGAAAGCTGGTTGGTCACAATCTTCACCCATCCTTTATTCATCTTCTTTAACACTTCCTCCTTCTTTCTCTTTTGCATTAGACTCTTCCTCTAGTCTTCTTTTTTCCCTTTCTACTTCTTCATAGATGTTTCTTTCGAGAATTACTTGTGTATGACCTGCTCCGAGGGCTCTGTCCTTGCAGCAAACTTGAAATGAGGCTCTTGACATTTTTTGTCATCAGTTTGTCTGAGAACTTGCTTTCTTCAATTTTTTCAACGCATAGACTAGATTGTTCATTGGCACATAATAAATAACAAAAATCTTGGAGTTTCTAGTATAGTAGCTCAAAGAAGGTGGCTGGAAGCCTGGAAAAGGTGGCAGAGAAAAAAGGATATGGAGAGAGAGGAGGACATCAATAAGATCAGAGGTTGGGGGCTAGGCACAATGGCTCATGCCTATAATCCCAGCACTCTGGGAGGCCGAGGTGAGTGGATCATCTGAGGTTAGGAGCTCAAGACCAGCCTGGCCAACATGGTGAAACCCTGTCTCTACTAAAAATACAAAAATTAGTTGGGCATGGTAGTGCGTGCCTGTAGTTCTAGCTACTCAGGGTCCTGAGGCAGGAGAATCGCTTGAACCCAGAAGGCAGAGGTTGCAGTGAGCTGAGATTGCACCACTGCACTCCGTCCTGGGTGACAGAGCAAGATCCTGTCTCAAAAAAAGAAAAAAAAAAAGAAAAAAAAGACCGGAGGTTAGAACTCTGCCCAGAGAAACTGCTGTGCCTGACATTCAACTTGACCTGTGTTGAATGTTCTTTCCTGACCTGTGTTGTTATTGTTCCTTCTCTCTCCCATCTTAGTAGATGACAACCCCATCCCTAGGTTGAAACCTAGTCCAAAAACCGAAGTTTCATCCTTGCTTCCTCTCATTCTTTCACATCTACACTGGATTCATATGCAAGTCCTGCTGGCAGATCTTCAACATGTATCATAACCCAATCACTCCTCCCCAGTGCCATTGCTGGAACACTGGTTCCAGCCACCAGCTCTAGCCTGGGTTACTGTAATGACTACCGAAGTCATCTTCCAGTTTTCATCTTTGCCAGTTTCATTCTCCTCTCAACTCAGGAGGCAGATGATCCTTCTAAAATGTAAATTAGATTGTATCACTTCTCTCCTCCACAGGGTGCAATAATCATGCATCATGCAAAAGCTAATGGTCACACTGGTCTTCTGGTCTGTGCAAGCCACTTCCCACCTATTCCTGCCCTGTTAGCCCTATGATCACATCTTGGCTGTGCCCTCACTTGTTCCCACTGCCGTCACACTGGCCTCCTGATTTTGTCCCTAGGGACTGCACCTGCTGCTCCCTCTACCTGGGTCATCCTTCCCCCAGTCGTGGGTATGGCTCTCTCCAGTGCTTCCTTCATGGCTTTATCTAATGTTAAGGCTCCTCAGTGAAGCATTTTTGACTCATCTGTTTAAACAATCAAAGTCTTATGTAGATAGTAAAACCAAAAAGAAAAAAAAAGGGGAATCTGAGTCATGGCACCAAAAATAAAACCACCACCACCACAACAACAGAAAAGGAAAAAAAAAAAATGAAAATAATCAACCTCTCCTCCCAGCACTCTGCAACCCATCTACTTTGTTTTTCTCTGTATACGTATTATTACCAGACATACTATCAGCATGTCAATCGTTGTATTTATTTTATTTTGTATTTTTGAGACGGGAGTCTTGCTCTGTCACCAAGCCTGGAGTGCAGTGGCATGATCTCGGCTCACTGCAACCTCTGCCTCCTGGGTTCAAATAGTTCTCCTGCCTCAGCCTCATGAGTAGCTGGAATTACAGGCATATGCCACCACACCCAGCTAATTTTTGTATTTATAATAGAGATAGGGTTTTACCATGTGGGCCAGGCTGATCTCAAACTCCTAACCTCAGATGATCTACCTGCCTCAGCCTCTCAAAGTGCTGGGATTACAGGCGTTGAGTCACTGTGCCTGATATCTGTTTTTTGAGAAAGAGCCTCACTCTGTTGCCCAGGCTGGAGAGCAATAGCACTATCTCGCCTCACTGCAACCTCTGTCTCCTGCCTCAGCCTCCTGAGTAGCTGGGACTACAGGTGTGTGCCACCACACCCAGTTAATTCTTATATTCTTAGTAGAGACAGTGTTTTACCATGTTGGCCAGGCTGGTTTCGAACTCCTGACCTCAGGTGATCTACCCATCTTGACCTCCCAAAGTGCTGGGATTACAGGCATGAGTCACCACACTTGGCCATTTTATTTGAGTATTAAAACAAGGGCAATCATAGAAGATTGGAAATACATGGGAATGTTTGGCTCCTTTAAAAGAATTTAAAGTTATTGGCCGGGCGCGGTGGCTCAAGCCTGTAATCCCAGCACTTTGGGAGGCCGAGGCGGGTGGATCACAAGGTCAAGAGATCGAGACCATCCTGGTCAACATGGTGAAANCCTGTAATCCCAGCTACTCAGGAGGCCGAGGCAGGAGAATCGCTTGAATCCGGGAGGCAGAGGTTGCAGTGAGCCAAGATCGCACAACGGCACTCACAAGAGCAAAACTTCATCTCAAGAAAAAAAAAGAAAGAAAGAAAGAAAGAAATCAGAGGACAAGGTACAAACAACATAAGCAGCAGATCTTAGCAGGGCAGCGGCGCCCGGGGGGACAAATGACAAGAACGTGCAGATCGGGGAGCTACGGGACCTCATGCTTGAGGTCTCTGACCCCATCCATCATGAAATCACAGTTTCTGGACAAACAATCCAACTTTCTATATATTCATGTATTCTGATGCCATCTTAGAGAGGAGCTGGTAGAAGACTGAGAAATCACCACTTTTATCCAGAGAGATGGAACATTAAACAAAGGGATCCTAAATGGTTACATTGGACCAAGGTTTAACCAGATTGGACCTTTAGTTATTTATCTCCTTGCTGCTTACTTAGTGGTTAGGTGTCCACAAGGTTATCTGTCCTATTTGTGTAAAAATACCAATTTTTAATTTTTACCTATCTGATAAAATTGCAACCACATAATATGTACATAATTGTGTACATTTTCTGAGTATATGGTACCCATGGGTATAATCAGCTCAGATATTTAAAGCTCCAGGCTGTCTTGGTACAGTGGAAATAGGGTAGGCACTAGCCTCAAAAAGACCTAGACTTGAACCCATCTCCTCTACTCTACTTCCTCCCTGTGGGAACCTGGGCAAGTTACTTAACACCTCTGAGTCATGGTTGTCTGTAAATGGATTTAACATGGCTCATCTCAGAGGGCTGTCCTGAAACTCAAAGGTATCCTTGGCTAGGCACGATGGCTCCTGCCTATAATCCCAGCACTTTGGGAGGCCAAGGTGGGTGGATCACTTAGGCCCAGGAGTTTGAGACCAGTCTGGGCAACATGGCAAAACCCTGTCTTTGCCAAAAGTACAAAAATTAGCCGGGCGTGGTGGTACACGCCTGCAGTCCCAGCTACTCAGGTGGTTGAGGCATGATAATCTCTTGAACCTGGGAGATGGAGGTTGCAGTGAGACCAGATGGCCCTACTGAACTTCCGCCTGGGTGACAGAGTGAGACCTTGTCTCCAAAAAAAAAAAAAAAAAAAAGAATTTAAAGTTACATTTTGAGAAAAGACATATTTTCTAAATCTGGACATTTATGCATCTGGTGTTTTGTTATTTCTCAGAAAAAAAGTTTCAATATTTGAAATTAGACATCTGGCAACCCTAGTAACTAGCTTAAACAGGGCAGAGACAATCAACACTCTATTCCAGATCTGCCCAACAGAAAATACAACCTCCAATGTTGAAGCTTTGAGAGTGAGGGTGGGAGTGGGCAGTGTGGGTGTTTGCCCTATACACTGGCGACTTCTTTGGGGGCTCTGAGAGTGGATGGAGCAGGTGAGGAGATGCTGATGAGGAGGGTAGAGGAGGCTGTGGTGGGAAGATCAGGTCATCCCTGGAATAAGGCCCATTTTTAGGTTGGCCCAGATGGCCTGCAGTGAACAGAATACAGGTCTGCAGCCCAAATGAGATTTGCAGGTAGACCTCCTCAGAGTCTCCAGCAAGAACCCCAACAAGAGTGGAAATGAGACTTCGAAGTAGCCAGGAGGCACCACTGGGCTCTGGCCAAGCCTAAAGGAATCAGAGGATGACTGAGCATGATGGCTCACACCTGTAATCCCAGCACTTTGGGAGGCTGAGGCAGGTGGATCACCTGAGGTTGGGGTTCAAGACCAGCCTGACCAACATGGAGAAACCCTGTCTCTACTGAAAATACAAAAATTAACCAGATGTGGTAGCAGGC